TTGGCTTGAGGATTTCTTTCATCATGAGCTGACACCAGTTAGTGAACCACTGAAAAACCACCTGGGAGTACTGAACAGTCCTGACGGTGGGTGCGTACTCATGAATAGTCCTAAACTAGGACAAAACATCTGTCTAGTACTCCCAGGTTTCCCAATGGTTCTCTAACTGATGTTAGATTATGATGAAATCCTCCAACTTATATTTTCTGTTGATTGTAAATACACAAGCAAATCATTAAATTGTTTAATGTCATTGTACGTGCATTTAATTTACTAATACAACCAACGAACCGTTTTTAGCCACCTCCTGTTTCTACCTCATTACATTTTCTGATATAATTTTTTATTTGTTTTTAATGGCTATTAGTAATCTAACGTTCATGAATCGATAACTGTAGAGTCTAGAGAAGAAAGACATCTTGAAAGCGAATGCCTGGTCAAATTATTCTTTCTCTGAGTATACTCTAGACATGTTGATATTACTGAAAATGTTTTTGCTAAATATTTGGTTCTGAATGAAGCAGAATCGTTTCAACTGCAGGCCAGGCAGCATAAATGAAGACGTAAAAGCCAACCAGTATCAGTAAAAGGAAGAGAAATCTTCATCATCACTACGAAAATCCAATGCGCTCATTCATTGTAAGGGACGAATACAGATCTGACACTGATGTTAAGTCATTGGATGCCTTTGTAAGGTTCAGAAACTCGACGCCTTCAGGCAAAGTAATTCTAGCAACCTGCTATACACTTTCGTAAACAGCTGTCTTCGCTGCATGAGGCAGATCAGATGACCAGTTGAAAAGGATAAGCAACGAAGAACTCTGACAATGAACCATTCGAGAAGCTACTGACCAAAAAAATATACACAATGAAGTGGAAACAGATTGGACATACACTAAGGTTACCGTCTAGTGACGTAACATGCCAGGTCATCGTGTGGAAGGTGGATGAGAAACGACGAGACAGACGACTGTCCAACTAAATCTGTCTGCTTTTTCTCACACCACATACATCCTAGGAGCTGACGAATCACCTGAGATATAAAAGGCTTAAGATCAACACCAACAAGGTATTATGTTAAACTGACTCGATTCTGACTTCAGTTGAGTAACAATGCATCGTGCGCTTCATAGTGATAATACATATCAAGTTCAGTTCAGAAAACATCATCTTACATTTTAAACCACTTATAATTACTAAATTACGGATTTATTAAACCTTCGACTTTAGTTAAACTACTTTATATCAACACTACTATTTGTGTCATGTTAAACTACGAATTGAAATTATTTAAAAAACACTAATATTGTTATTAACCACTAATCTAGAATATTCTGTGTATATAGACACTTATATAATTGTAGAGCCGGAAGAGAGAAATTTATCGAAAAGAATATTCTTTGCTCGATTATATTATGTTTTATAGATCTCTGAATGAATATTTTTGCTGGATTGATATCAGTTAGAGAACCATTTAGAACCAGGCAATGAGTACTGGACAGTTGTTTCATGCCAGTTCGTGACTCATCGACATGGATTCGAACCCAGGACCTTCCGATTACGAGGCAACCTCGTATGCCATTCAGCCACTGGGTTCCGATTCAATGGCCAGCCAGCACATGAATTTTAACTCCTACCAAGTCGTGGCTTTTAGCGTGACGACCAGCCAGTGTTGTCGACCGAAACTCCTCACCGGTCACAAGCTTGCCTTGTGAGAGGAAGGTCCTGGGTTCGAAACCCGGTGAGTGCCTGCCGTCGATGAGTCCCAAACTGAAACGAAACAGCTTTCCAGTATTCCATGGTGTTCTCTAACTGATATCGATCTGTGGTTTAACCTGAGACAAACAGAATCCCTACAAACTAATTCTTAAATATTACTATTATTAAATATTTGGGTTCAATTTGTAGGAGACAGCACACTGATTGAAGAAGTCCACATTAGGATAAAGTATATACTCTGGACTGCATTTTTCTCATTGTTTATTTTATTTCTTCCATTACAGCGAAGAATAAGTTTTTTTTCTACGATTTGGAGTTTCTGCAGTGAAGATCGTTTTCATCAATTAGTAAGTATTCAAGAGGCAAAAGATTTGATTATACCAAAGGAGATATCAACACGCTTACTGGTCAACAAGCGTATTCCGAATTCCATCAACGGATACAATCAAATAATTCGGAATAATACATAATACACCTAAAAAGTATATCCTACTATTCAGTAATTAGTAGTCATATCACGGTACTTTGAAAACTTGTGACTTCAAAATTGAAATGCGTTGACTCTGTTTCAGTCACTTAATTATAAGTATCTATATAAGGCAGGAAAATACATATTGGCAATCTAAGTGACTTTAGTAGTTTTAGGCAAAAGGTGGTTAGTGGTATTACTCATAATAAATGTTTAGCAGTTCAACCATATGACTAGATTTAGTGAATATTTGCAGTTCACTCAGTCCACAGTTCGATTCCTGGTGTAGACACGGACAATTGCTATCGAAAAGACTAAATGCTGACAATGTACTGCACATTCATTCTGCATGACTTATAATATTCTTCTAAAATTCATAACTGGCCTGGCGATTTTTGTACTCCATTATTCTGATAGGAATAGTTTCCTATCTGAGATTAGCCAGTGGTCTCATTCAAATAGGCATAAAGTGAATCTCTCTAAATGTCTGATAGTTAATTTCCATTTCAGGTATCAACAAGATATGCATAGACCGATTCAGTTTCATGATTCTTCTGATATTGATGACAGTTTGATAGGAAACAAATCAAATATTATTTAATTGAATTTTAGATTTTCCCGTCGATTGATTGAACCGAAGTGCTCGGTCTCAGGTTGACATGCCGTCTTCTTGTGCAGATGCTCTGACGATGTCTGGGCATGTTATTATTATTGTTCCCTTGGGTTCCTAGTAGAACATAGGGCTTCAACTGCATGTCTCCACTTGCTTCTGTCTTCTTCTATACTTCTCACCTCCATCCATGTTAGTCCATACTGTTTCAAACCATCTTCACACGACCTCCTCCATGCCACCCTTGCACTGACGACCAACTCACCGCTTCCCTTTCGGCCTAGTTCCACTCGAGCAATAGCCTGACACGCGCTCGATGTCACCCAGTCGCCTCCTCAGCGAGTGTCCAATCCATCCATCTCCACTTTCTCCTGCATATTTGTTGGGCGATTGGTTTGTTCTTGCTTTGCTTGTTCCCATAGTTTCTTGTTGGTGATTCTTTCCGGGAGTGTAGTTAGAATTTAATTGGTGGATGGTGACTAGCAGTGGAATCCAGGATGCGCATTTCACCTGTCCTATTTGGGAATCGCCAGTCAGATCTAGCTGCATTCCCCAGTGAGTGATGATGTTCCCACCAAGGCTCAAACCCAGTGCCCAGTGACGTTTGAAACTGTGAGCACTGGATTCGAGCCTCGGTGGGAACATCATCACTCACTGGAGAATGAAGGTACATCCAGTTAGCTGACGAGTCCCAAATAGGACAAAATGCGTAGCCTAGATTCCACTGCTAGTCACCATCTACCAATTAAAACAAATAATACCTATCTTGGTATCTATTTCCCTCCTAATCTTTCTTGGCCGTCCCATGTATTGCTAATTTCCAAAAACGTCTTTTGTTTACCTACTACAAAAGGAAGTCGAGACTTATTGGCACAATTCAATCTCTTCTGTTACAATTTATTAATTAATGTATTCTGCCAATGAGTCGTTACTGTTTCTCCTCACTCTTCCCTCGGATTCTCAAAACAGACTTAGAAGGCTGTAGACAGAATCAGTGATATACCTTTGACCTAACTAACTTGCATAATTGTTGATAGGCATTTTAATTCTTGAAAGTGGTTGCTAAAGTCATCTCGTCAGATAATGAACATCCTCTTTATTCGGAACTTTCTCATTGTATCTCCCCAGAGGAAATTTCACAAGAATTTATGCTCGTTCGATCAAATGTGAAAATACAGCCATACTATATTCAGCGCAGATGTTACGTGTAGAGAAAAATGTCAGAAAAGAGCATATAAACTTATTTTATAATCTGTGAATACACATTAATTTATTCCCTCTACTGAAGCTAATTTCGACTTCATAATAAACTCTCATCGCGAACGGGAGCATCAATATATAACCCACCAACTGTTATCTAGGCGAGAGTAACTATGACCCCCTTAAGGTAGCCAAATACTTCATCATCTGTTTCGCCCAATGCTCTGAGTACCAACGCGAAGAAACTCAACCGGGCATGGGTAGTGGCGGGACGAGGTTATGGTTATATCGGCAGGCGCCTCCACGTGGCGACCGCTGGGTGGGGCTTATCAGGAAGGTACACTGAGCTCCAGCAAAGATCTGCCGCAGCATGAGACAACATCTGTGTCCGGTTACTCAGTCTTGATGAAGCAGCCGTGCCGTCCCTAGGGTTTTATGGCGGTGAACGGGTCATCGGCGAGGCCAAGTTCTGGGGATTCCTGATGAAAGGATCGAGGTCAATAACAACTGGTTAGCGTGTGGCTACGGAGGACTGGTATTCCCAAACACGAGGCGAAGTATGGCAACTGTTAGCCGAGACCAATCTGAAGTGGTGTCTTGTTCAATGAGTTGTAGTTTGGAGGGTGAGACCTCGATCCATGAGTCCGGTTTGGGTTGGCTACAGTGCGGTCCCTGATTACGTGTTTCGGTACTGACGGGGAGGATGCCATTGGCTGTCAAAGGTAATGGAAAGAACGGCCAACTCTCCATACACTCTTGCAATGGTCATTTGGCAGAACCGCAATTATGGAATGTCCGTACACGGGTAAAAGTCCTAGCCCATCAACTCTGTTATCTTTAGGAGAGGTTTTGTCACAGAATATATGATATTATATACTGAAAATTTATATAGTGAAATGCACAAAATAGGGTATGATATAAGCAATCAAGAAGACAACAGAACCAACCAATCGAAAACAAAGTTGTATAACCAAACAATCAATCGAATATCAGCTGAAGAGGTCAATCACTGTCTGTTAAATCTACTCGTTGCCGTTTCGCTGGCGGCTGCGGCGGTGGTACATGACACTTCTCGATTTCTTTCTCCTCCGCTGGTAATAATAAATATGGCATTACTGTCGCGTCATCGCCATCATCACCACCTTCTGTGACGTGGTCATCATTGACAACAACATAACAAACTGTTGAATATGGTGTAAAGTGGAAATCTAATTTTAAATATTCTTTAATTAAACACCATGAAATGAAATATTCGTAAAATTCACGTTCCGGCTTAACTACTGCTAATACTACTTTATTACTACTAATAGTAGTATTAGTAACAGCATCATTTAATAATTTTTGACTGATTGAATTTATTTTCTTATTACTATTCGTCATTAAATCGACTAATTTTAAACCTGTGATTCTTTCTTGTTTTGTTAAACTCTGATTGTATAATAATTCTTTTGTTGCCTCTAATAATTCAGTGATTTTTATTTGTACAAGATGGTAGGATTTATCTAAAAAAAGGGGAAAAATAAAAACACAAAGAAAAGAATTACGCATATAACATAATTGAATGAAATGAAGCAACGATGTGTACATAAAATACAAAGGGCCTAGATTCTACTTATGGTACCATGATCAATTTGACTGACAACCAGCAGCAAATCGTCGAAACATCCTGTGAAAACAGAGACCGAGTGTATTTCAGTTGAGCAAAATCAAAATGATTCCACAGATAGTGATCAAACTTGAAGTCGATCAAATCCCTGAGAAGTAACGCATGCTCACTAATGACCGACCACAGGGTGGAACAGCCTACAGTCCAGTATGAGGACAGATGAGCGTTAATCACACTAGCTGGCGATCAAGCTGTACATCACAAATTTGCAGAAGTTGGAATTCATAGATTAGTGGATTCAGTCCCAGTGGTTGAATGGTCATAAACCTGGAGGTCATGTGTTCGACCCCTGGTAGTAGTCATGGTTGAGTACTGATGAAGAGAGTTCCAAAGAAAGACAATGAAGCTGCTTCTCTAACTGAAGTCAATTCTTGATCAAAATTCAGAATTAATCAAACTCCCTGCAAACTAACACATGGAAACTCAACTAAATCACAAATGATACCTGTTGTAACAGAGGTGGCTCTCATATACCTTACTTAGTGACGTATTCTTTGACTTTCGAAACTATGAGTACTACGTTTAAGTTTCACAGTGGGAACAAAATCACTCATTTAGATGAAGTTAAATTCATTCAGAACAGGAAGAAATGTGTGTCTCTGATTCCACTGCTAGCCGCTACTAGCATGACGAAGGCTTATGCGTGCTAATTCTGTTAGTTGATTCCCAATTCAGTCACTAATCTAAGAGATTCACCGTTGTACTGAATTTTTTTTTGGAATTAATGTTAGATAGCTGGAGACAGTTGGGGAAATCATAAAATCCTTGTAATTAGCTTTCATGATAGTTGTCACCAGTTAGGAAGGTGTATACGTAAAATTGAAGGAGGAACTGGTACCCCCTTTGAGATTTGGGACCGCATCACTTAATACTATAGTCACCACTGCATAGGAGTAGATATGTAACACTAGTAAATCCCCAGTGGCAAATTAATATAACCATAACAGCTTTACAGAAGGTCAATTGCTGGCCTTAATAGTTCAGTGTATGATAAAGGTTCAAATCTCTGAGAGGATATCACCATACTAATGAGCTTCAGTTGGCATGAGACCAAGGTTCACAGATACTGTCTATCACCTTCATATTATGGAATTTGTTATGTAAATTGTTTCAAACAAACTAATGTCTGTACAACGAAGTCAACGTCTAGAATTTGTAATAAAATAGTCAAAGAGCCAAGCAAATAAACAACAGATGTGTCGAAAAGATGAAAAGTTGCAATGACATTCGTTTATTAAGCTTATCGTGCACAAGGGATAGGCAGGCTATTTAGCCCGTACTTTATGTGACGAAGACTCTATTAGACGTGAAACTTATAAGTTACTATGTAATTAGCACAGTGAATCGACCCTTTCATCGTTCGTTCATCTTTCTGTATTTTATGGTGTCACACTTTCTATCGTTTAATTATTACTCTGCTATTTTATTTTCAGTTGGTATTACTATTATTACTACAATTTTGTACTTTATGCATATTTTTCACCGTATGGCATACAGTATTTTGCTATGTAGCTGCTATAATAATCGTTTTATTACTATTATGTAATGTGTATTTTTAATTTTTTGTTGTTGTGGTTTTTGAGTAAATTAGATGCAATATTGTACTGAATGCTGAAAATTCCTCGCTGTATCATTAGTACTGTTTTTGGAATAAAGCAAAAAAATTATTATTATTATTATTAGAGTCCCATCATACTTTCATAGATTTATTCCCTATTCACCTTCTTCAATAATTCGAACACTTTCAGCAACTTTTGTCTTCCTTATTTTCCACTTTTTCGTCTACGTTGTACGGCTGTTTTGGAAGGTGTCTTTTTTAACATTGGTCTGTATGTTGACCGAAATTCTTGAACGGAAACTTCTTCCGTAGGCATCGATTCTTTAATGGTATATTATATACAGTCACAGACTTTCATCAACAGATGCCTTCACTAGATACCTATAGACTACATGGCCTACAAGAAAAGATAAACAATGAGGAACTTTGGCATCATGTTAGCTAGCCATGATCCTATTGTCCAACGAATACTCAGCAGGAAATCGAGATAAACTGGACATAAGCCAAGGAGACCATTGAATGACAACACACACACACACACACACCAAACGCTCAGTTAGAACCAGAATAAAGGACAACGAATTGGTAGTATCCAATAGTGATATGGAAATCCTTTAAAGGGAAAACCAAAGCTAATATAAAAAGTTGTGAAGACAGGTGAGAATGACGGCATAACACACACACACAGAGTACAGCGGAGATGCTTGGTTAAAGTCCTATGTTCCACTCGGAAGACAAAGAATAAATAATACAAGATGGATGGTATTAAATTGTAAAACTTTCTCATTTTCATAATACTCATATTAGATCTGATCACCTTTAAGCTTGCTCTTTTGAATAAAATATATCCACAACGGAAAACTCAGCGAGGCGTTCGAAGTGTATTCATCAGGAGTAAGACAAGGCGGCTGTCTGCTTAGTATCACCAATGAAATTCTTAATTGTGGTGGACTGAACTATGCGTCAGACTGTGTGCATTAGAAGCGAATAGACAGGAATACACTGGACAGCCAATAAGAAGACTCTAGAAGATTTGGATTTCGCAAATGATATATACGTCGAATGTCACATCAACTTGAAGATTTACAGGCGAAAACCAACAAACTAGCTGAAGAGGCAGGCAGCGAAGACAGGACTCCAGTTGAACATAGAGAAGATGGAGGTGATGAAGATAACCAACCAACCAACCAACTGACAGAAGCAACAACAACAACCAGCACAGATCACCATCAACAGGAGAGATTTGACAGAGGTTAACTTCTTCACTTATCTCGGCAGGAAGCATTGGTTCAATTTACAGGCGAAACGGACGAAGATTTCAAAACCAGTCAGAATCCAAAAGGTAAGATATGCTTTCATTAAAAGGGAAACCAGTTTGGAAATCTTCTTCAGCATAAGGAACAGGAATCGGATTTTCAACACCAATGTCAAGTCGGTCCTTCTATAATGGGTCAGAAAATTTCACTGCGTGTCAGTCACGAAAACGATTTCCAACAGGCTAATTCAGACATTTATCAACAGCTGTCTTCTCTGGCTCCATAGTGAAGATCAAATAACAGGGCAAGCCAGAAAGAATTAGTAACAAGAAACTTTGGCTGGAGACAAACCAATCAAGAGCCGATCGCTCAACAAATATGTGGGAGAAAATCATCAAGTCCACTGTAGACCATCGCTCGAGTGGAACTTAAATGGGAAGTGACCAAAGGGTCGTCCTAAGGTGACATCGAGGTAATCGTGTGAGGAAGAGATGAGAGGGGGTTTGGGTAATCGTGAAAGCAGCTGAATAGGATGGCAGAGAATAGAAAAAATTGGAGATATGTAGTTGAGGCCTTATGTTCCACTCGGAACCCAAGGGAACAATAGTAATAATAACATTACACTCAAGAATATTTCCTGCTGCCATGCGATCAATGACTTCCTTCCAAAAAGACCCGATTGTCGATAAAAATCAACCAATCAAAAGGTTAAGAAGTCATCAACAAGTAAGCTGTGCTAACATTTATTCAACTGTTGTGTGTCGGCGCGGTTCAATTGGTCGAATGCTCGCCAAAACCACACCATAGATTTGGGTGCCTCATACTTAGCCGGTACTAAGCCTGTTAAAGAGTAAAACATTGGGATGTGAGGCTGGCAACTCTACTCAGAGAAAAACAAACCCTACTGCTACTGAAACCACATAGCTGAAGTTCCACTTGGAACGCAAAAGACTGAACAGTTAATGGATTCATCTTACCTGAATTCTCTGCACACTTCCGTTGACAATTATCACATGCATTTTTACAATCATCAATAGACCATGATGTATCACCAAGATGCTTTGAGAGTAAATAACGTCGACATTTATCAGGATTAATACAATATTCAATCATTTGCAATAATTTCTCTATCCCCGTACGTTCACTTGATACCATACTAGCCAATCGAAACAAATCTGAATATCTCCACATTAGAATACAATCAGCTGGTTGTGAATCACGTCCAGCTCTACCAGATTCTTGATAATAATTCTCTAAACTTTTACTTGTTGAATAGTGTATAACGAAACGAACATCAGATTTATCAATACCCATACCGAATGCCACAGTGGCGACAATCACCTATAGTTGAGTGTTGATTGCAAAAAAAATATAGTGGGAAAATTTAACAATGGGGAATATAAACAAACAGTTCAGCAAATAGACTCTTTCGGAAAAAACTGATCCACCTAGCTGTACAATTGCATTATATATATATGACCATTTTTCCCTCTGAGTGTGTATGTGTGTGTGTACGTCCAGTCTGTCAACCATAACGAAAAGAAGGATTCACCATGAGCTGACATTCCAATTAGAGAATCATTGGAAAACCAGGGGTTTACTGAACAAATCTTTCGTCCTAGTCTGGAATTCTTCAGCAGTACGCACCCAGAGTGTTTCAAACTCAAAACCTTCCAGATATAACGTGAGCTGGAAGAAGTCGGAATTTACAGGATATTGAAAAAAGGGTCCCAGTGAATGAACAGTTTACGTACTCAGTGTGTTTGGTTCGAATCCCGATGGGTGGATACTATTGAAGAGTTCTAGGGGCTAGGCTGAAACAGCTGTCTAGTACTCACTGGTTTTCCAGAGGTTCTCTAACGACTATTAACTCGTCAACAAACCTGTAAGCTAGTCAAATCTCTGCAAACCAACACGCTTGTAAACCTGAATTAGTTTGGAATACTGTTTACATCATGAAAATATTTTAAAACTGTGACAACTAATCAAATTGTAAGTAGTAGACAGTATTCACCCTCTAGTAAGTTTAGAGTAAAAGTTACGCAGTTATATGTTAGATAGGTTTATTTTTAAATGTTCTACAGCGATCCAGTATTAACAACTGGACGACACGGTTTCTACCACAATTTATTGCTGCTCATAATCATATCAAGGGACTCACACTCAACTTCCTTGCTTCATTTAAATACATGAGTAAAAATTGATTAGACATTTGAATAAAATCAATATAAGACATGCGTGAAACAGAAAGGAAGATGAAATACAATCGGAAACCCTATTAGTGTTATAATACGATGAGAGAATTAAGACGAGTGTTGTTAATCTGCCTACTCTGGAAGATAAAGTACATTCAGAAGTCATATTAGCGTTATCAATAAAATATAATATGATGGGAAATAAGATGTTATGTAGTAAAATAAATAAATAACTTGTTAGAATGTGAATTGGAACACATTTTAACATTATTGATTATCCTCCTTTCAGTCACTTCAACTCCCCTTTGTTGTTTGTTGCCACTTTCCATATCTCTCGTACAGGAGTAAAGTCTTTCCGTCATTTTATTGACAAGCTAAGGTGAAGCAGTAACTCATCGAAGAAGACAGTGCGAAGTGGTCGCGCTATGTAGCGAATTGACAGAAGTTGGAATACATGGGCTGGCCAATGAATCGGGTCCCAGTAGCTAAATGGTCTACGAGCTCACTAGCCTTGTGACCAGAAGGTCCTTGGTTCAAACTCTGGCGGTGGGTGCGCACCAATGAAGAGACCCAAACTAGTGGGACGAAACAGTTGTCCAGTACTCACAGCTCGTTTTCCAATGGTTCTCTAACAGATATCAGCTCATAATGAAATCCTCAAGCCAATCAAACACTAATATTGTTCCGAAATGTACTTGATCTTCTTTTGTGTTTCACGCATGTCGATTGAACTTTTATTGATTTTATTCAAATGTGTCCAATCAATTTTCACCCATGTATATAAATGAAGCAAGAAAGTTGAGTGTGAGTACCTTGAAATGATTATAAGCAGCAATAACTTGTGCTTGCAATCTTGTCATCCAGTTGTTAATACTTCATCATCACTGTGTGATATTTAAAAATAAATTTATCTAATATGGAATTACATTCTACAACCAAAGTGTCCAAATTCCACACTCACACTAAACGTTACGTAGGATAAAAAGGCGTCAGGAAAGGTTGGGTGTTAATAGTAATGAAACAGCATAGAGACAAGTATCAATAAATATTATGTAACAAGTGAACAAAGTGAAGAAAAGATTAGTTGGGAAAATGATATTAATATATGCCACCTCCGAAATTAGAGAGAAATTATTAATAACTTCATTATGGATAAAATTTTATTTTGATAAAATTACACAGTGTTGTACAGTCATATTTACTGATGCCACCACGTTTCGAGCACAATTTATCAGTGCCACTCATAGTCATATCGAGGCATTCACTCACTCACACAATTCACTTCCTTGTTTCACTTATATACATGAGTAGAATTGATGATTAGACATTTGAACACAAATCAGTAACATAAGATAGAGTATATTCAGGAATAATAATATTAGTGTTATCAGTCAGATACAATCAGATGGGAAATAAGACGAATGCTTTTTATAGTTAAAATAAATAAATAACTTGTTAGAATGTTATAATGTGGATTGAAATAGAATACAATTTAAGATTATTTATTATCCTCCACTGATTCGACTGGTGCTAATAATGTTTTCCATATCTCTGATATTTGCGTTGAGTCACTTCTATTGCATGTGTTGTGTTGGGTGTGTAGACTCGATGAATCAGGCAGGATTCAGTAATCAACCTCTCCCTGTCTCCACCTACATAGATTACTTCTTAGAATTTTAACTCTGTCCCACCCACCCTATTGTGTGGTTTTGTGTGAATGCACACAGAGCAATCGCTGAGGTTTTTTTTTCTAAATTACTTATCTTCTCGGGTGGGGTGAACCATTCTTACCTTAGCTAAATTCTTATGTTCCGATGATCTGATTACCCCCGATCTACTGGTTTGACCTGCACAATTGACCTTACAGTCATTACAAGGTATTCCGTAAATTATATTATTTTTATCTGATTGGGTCCACCGGGTTTTTTAGCCTACAGAGATTGTCTTTGAGTGAGTTTGTAGGTTTGAATGCCACCCTAATTCCTGCTTCATTGAGAATTCTAAAAAGACTGTCTTAACAGCTAACGAATGATATGAATTAAATTCTAAATATCTTTTAAGAGTGGGTTGGCTTTTTAAAAACGCTAGTGTGCAGTCTACCTTCTTGTGTTCGTTTTATTTAACAATGTAACAAAGTTATTTATTTAAACTATAAAAAACATTCGTCTTATTTCCCATCTGATTGTATCTGACTGATAACACTAATATTATTATTCCTGAATATACTCTATCTTATGTTACTGATTTACATTCAAATGTCCAATCATCAATTTTTACTCATATATATAAGTGAAACAAGGAAGTTGTTTTAGTGAGTGCTTTGATATGATCATGAGTGGCAATGATAAATTCTGCTCGAAGCGTGGTGGCATCAGTTAATATTACTGCATGACACTGTGTGATTTTATCAAAATTAAAAATTTATATATATATATATATATATATATAATGTTACCTCACTGAACAACATCAGAACGCATCAACCAGTGTTAACGGGAGAAATCTGTAGGAAGTCACCTCTTTTACTTATTTAAGAAATGTCGTTTCATCTACAAGAGGAACAAATGACGATGTCAAAAGTACAGCTGAAGAAGAAACACACACATTTTCATTACTTTGATGTCAGTGTAGAAATCTACTGCACTCAACATGATAAACAGGACCGAGATTTCCAACGATAAGAGTCAAGAGTCACTGCTTTTATATTGGTTAAGAGACTTCACACACACGTGTAACCAGAAGCAGTTCCAACAGCCTGTTGAGCACTTTCATCAACAACTGCCCACCCTCCACTGTCTCGATCCTGAAGATTAAATAGCCGGTAGAAAGATTTGCCAACAAGGAACTCTGGTAACAAACTATTCCCCAACAATCGTGCAGAAGGAAACGGAGATGGATTAGACATACGTTGAGGTGACCGTCGAGTAACATAGCATGCTAGCCAGGCTCTTGAGTGGAACCCTCATAGAAGAGGACGAGTTGAGCGTTGGTAGAAGGGTGACATAGAAGAGGAAATCAGAGCTTACGGGCAGTCGTGTCTGTCTATCTGTCTGTTTTCGACATAGAACTTTGCACAAATGTGCGGAAGTTCAAGTCGTCACATTCCGTGTAGCACGCGAAGCAAGAGAAGAAAGTACAAGAAAAGCATAATAGCGACAGTAAGCAGAGGTGGGAGACAAAGGAGTAATAAAGAAATACAAAACAGTTTCATTGGAAATCATAAGTCACAGGGAGTGGATGCATCTGCACCAGCCACTGAGAACGGTTTTGAGCCATGTCACCAATTGTTTCCAACCATAGATTTTTACCGTCCCGAGGACCCCAGCCTGGAAGTCTACACCTTTCTACGTGGCTTAGACCAACTGTTGTGGATTTCATTGACTGATGCCAAGTTTTTGTTTGACCGCCGCTAGCTTTTTTCCAGCCTGACCATATATCCGCTAACATTGCTCGTCGAGGGAGGCGATGACTTGGCATACGTAACACATGTCCTAACCATCTCAGTCGATGTAGCTTCACGACTTCGTCGATTGATTTCCCCTGTTTACCTAGAACTCGACGCCTAACCTCCATGTTGCTCACCTTATTATGCCACTTTACACGGGAAATAGAACGCAGGCACCTATGATCAAAGACAGCTAGTCTTTTCATGTCTTCCACTCTCAGTGACCAGGTCTCACAACCATAAAGGAGGACGGAGCGGACTGATGAGCAGTACACCCGCCCTTTGGTCGATAGTCGAACATCTCGTCTACGCCAGAGTCGGCGTAAACTAACAAATGCGAAACGAGCCCCTTGTATTTGTGCTGAGATTTCGTCAGTCGTGTGGAACCAGCTAAACAAAACTTCAAAGAAAAGAGTGATGGTTAAGCCTTATATTCTACTCAGTATGCAAGTAAACAATGATAACAGTAATCAATTATACACTAAAATGCAATACATACATGAATTCGTCCTTGAACCCAATCAGAGTGAACTTTTGATCGATAATTAAAATCTAAATTAGCATGATATGGCGCTGACTTTAAACCGAGATTCTTTAACTCTGAAGAGACATCTTCAGTGTCTTTTTGAGAAAAACAGTAAACGATACCTAGAAAAAAAGAAATAAAGTATGCATAAATGAAGAAGCCTTTTAAAAATCAATGGAAACACTTCAATGAAAAAATCTGTTAAATAAGATGTAGTCACCTTGGAGTTTCAATGGATAATTATATCATCATCTAGAATAAAATGGGATGATGACACAGCTGACTAGACGTCTTTGACTAGAAGTACTCGGGTTCTACCTCTTGTCTTAGGTATAGCATGCATCAGTTAATGTTGTGGTTAAGGGTAAGCAAAAAGAAACACTTCATGAGATTGTAAAACTGTATCGACCGAGACGGTTAGGTCACATGTTAAGCATACCGAGCCATCCACTTCTTCGTGAAGCATTAATTAGCTGATATGGGGAGCAGGGTTTGAAGATTTAGAAGTGATGAAGTCAAAAGTTGATGTCACCCCATGAAATCTCTAACCAATGGCTTGAAATATGTAGAGAAGTTTAGGTTGTGTGGTTGATGTGCTGAAGACTGTTGACGATTTGATTTGAAATCATTCTCAATGCTGCAGATGCACTGCTGCTGCTCCTTCGTGCAAAGTTCCTTGTTGAAAATTCAGTTTAGTTCAGGAGAATATCGTAAACGGACAGGTTTCAATCGATTGATATCCTCCATCCATCCTTATACACCTTCAAGTTGTACTTTTATTATTTCTATTATTTTGCGGTTCTGTTGCTTCTTTGTTTTACTCTCATAATTGCAAACACCAACTTATCTCTACGACTGCTGTAATCTTTGTTTTTCCCGTCACCATATCATGTAAAGAGAACATTATATTCAATATTTTTAAACATGCTAGGATTTCTATACTGTCTCAACAATACTGTGTGTAACAAGCCCACGGTAATTTTCACTTTTATTATTATTACCTTAGCTGTTATCATTATTATTATTTCCATTTTATATGTTGCATGTTTTTGACATTACCCACCCCTATTATAAATATGAAAAATTTTCTGTGCGTGAATAATTTTATTTATAATTTGAGGAAATTAGATGCAATATTGTGATTAATGCTGAAAATTCCATTCTGTATCACAAGTACTGTTTTTGGAATAAAGTAAATTATTATTATTATTATGTATTCGACTACATGTCATATAGAAGACATAATAGATTATGTTAGAACTAGAACTAGACTATCTACCTTCTTCAAAACAGGGCCTGCATTAACCCTAAAAAATCAAAAGAAAACAAAATCAAACTTAACAAAATCGGAAAGGGAAGCTTTAATTAGTCTTAAACAGGATAAAAACATTGTCATCGCAAAAGCTGACAAAGGAAACGCCACCGTAGTTTTAGATAAATCTGACTACATCAAAAAAGTTACTGAACATATTCAAACGGGTCCATATGAGGAAATTAAGAAGCCTGTAGATACAATAATGAATAAGGTTAAGAAATCTACAGCGGAACTAATACGCAGAATGAAGCCATCACTGGGTGAGTCTAAATGGTTTAATTTAATGCCTAAAACTAATAATGCTAGTAGAATATATGGTACTATAAAAATACATAAGCCAGGTAACCCCATAAGACCAATAGTAGATTTTAGAAATACCCCCACGTATGAATTATCAAAACACTTAGCTCTAATACTATGCCCCATTAGAAATCGTTCAAACTCTAGATTAACTAATTCATATGAGATGAAAAATAAACTAAATGACATTCAACTAGCGAATGATGAAACAATGGTTAGTTTTGATATAACTGGTCTTTATACTAATATACCAGTTAATATGGCCTTAGAAGCAGTTAAAAAAGAATTAACTGCGGATCCGGAACTCAGTCATAGGACAAAGCTGTCCATTGAAGAAATTATTTTAGGGATTCAGTTATGCCTCACATCTACTATCTTTAAGTTCCAAGGCAAAATATATAGACAAACAGAAGGTGTAGCAATGGGATCACCAATATCCCCTATCGTAGCAGACATATTTATGGACAGCTGGGAAAATAGTGCCCTCAATACATTTAACCCTACTCCGAAAATATGGTGGAGATATGTGGATGACACTTTCACAGTGTTAAAAACAGAACACATCTCTAGCTTCTTGACACACATAAACTCACAAGTTGAGGGAATAAAATTCACATTTGAATCAGAAAATGAACAAGGAGAATTAGCTATGTTAGATTGTAAGATAAAAAGAATAGAAGAAGGCAAACTACACACTAGTGTTTATAGAAAACCAACGCATTCTAATAGATATTTAGACTTTAATTCGTCTCATCCTTTAACTGTTAAGGCAGGCTTAGTTAAATGTTTAACAAACCGAGCAGTGGCACTAAGTAGCACAAAAAACGATCTAAATGATGAATTAAAACAGATAGAAGAAGCGTTGGTGTTGAATAACTATCCTATAAAATTCATTAGGAAGATCACTAAAGGCCAAAAACAAAATAAAAATAATTGTGAAACTAGTAATAATAACATAAATAAGAAAGAATATAAGTCATCCACAGTTATACCATATAAAGAGGGGACATCTGAGACACTACGTAGGATTCTGAATAAAATAGGAATTAGGGTGGCATTTAAACCTACAAACTCACTCAGGGACAAGCTCTGTAGGTTAAAGGACCCAGTTGACCCAATTAGACAAAATAATATTATTTACAAAATACCATGCAATGACTGTGAGGTCAACTACATAGGTCAAACTAGTAGGTCAGGGGTAGTCAGATTGTCAGAACATAAGAATTTAGCTAAGGTAAGAATGGTTGACCCCAAAAAGATAAATAATTTAGAAAAAAGCTCAGCAATTGCAATGCATGTGCTAACACACAACCACACAATAGGGTGGGAGAGGGTTAAAATTCTAAAAAGTAATCTAGGTAGGTGAAGAGAGAGGTTGATTACTGAATCCTGGTTCATCGAGTCTACACCAAGCACATGCAATAGGAATGAGTCATCACTCATACCTGAAATATGGAAAATATTACTACGAATCAAATCAGGTGGAAATCAAGTGAAAAACAATGGAACTATATAAATGAAGTTCGGAAGTCGTGTGAGTACTTTGATATGATTATGAGCAATAAATTGTGCTCGAAACGTCATCAGTAAACATTACTGTATAACACTGTGAGACTTTATCAAAACAAAATTTACCCATAATGGAAAAGCAGAGGTTTGGGAAATAAGTAACCACGTGGCCAATGTTTCTTATGACCCCGTCGATACATCTGTGGGGGGGGACTTCGATTGGACACTAGTAACTAGTGTGATGCGTCTAGTCCTTTTTGATGCAGACTGAATTCCATCAGTCAGGTTTGAAGTGTGCCCACCATTCTGGGTAGCTCGCCATCACGGTGCACACATTGATTTGACGATATTAGATAAATGGAGGCAATCAGCAGGAAGCCTTGCCTGGACCTAGGTTTCGTGTCAGTTAGCACTACTCAGCAAGGCGTATCTGCAACCTTGAAGGGACTCTTGTCACTTTTGAGATTCGAACCCGCGTCACACCCAGTGCTGCAGTCAGAGACGTTACCACTGAGCTATTCAGGCTCGCGATTGACAGATTACTTTCAACCGTCTGATACCAACAATTCACAGTGCACCGTGTTGGCGAGCTACCTAGAACGGTGGCCACATTGCAAACCTGACTGATGGAATTCAGTCTGCACCAAAGAAAAGACTAGACACACATCACATTAGTTACTAATTTCCAACCAAAGTATCCACTACAGTCCTACAGGAGGTGAGTCTCGAGCCCGAATAGCTCAGTGATAACGTCTCTGACTGCAGCACTGAGTGACGCGGGTCCGAATCTCAGAAGGGACAAGAGTTCCTTCGAGGTTGCAGATACGCCTTGCTGATTGGTGAGTGCCAACTAGGTCCACGGCTTCCTTCCGATTGTCTCTAACCATCTAATATCATCACATCTGGGGGGATTTAATCAGCCTCATATTGGTATACGGGCGCTCCTTCTATAGCCGCCCATATATTACCAGGAGTAATAACACAAGAATATATATTTGATGGTGGCTAGTAACACGTTTTGTGATAGCTGAGCCTCTCATCAGGCGGATCCTGACAATGAGACTCCAATCAAGTACTTATCTCTTCAAACGCCGAAGTGCTATACACCAAATCATTATACAAATACAAAGTGGTAAAAACAGTTAAAAGTAAGCCGTGATTTTAGCGTTACTGATACCGAACAGTTTCATTTCACCAGAAGAATCTTGGATAGGGTAATAATGCACCTATTTGAACTAAAACTTTAAATGTCTCAACAAATGACAAGGGGAAATTAGCTGAAACTATTCATTCTATACACAGTTTATGTGACACTGTTGCGGTGAGAGCTAGCTGCAAGCCAAAATTGTAGACAGCAGTTTACGTCAATGTTTACATCCCGAATCGGGGTCATGGGAAAAAACAATAACAAAGCTTAACCTTGAGGAAATCAACAACCAATCACAGCAGACTTAACGTGTGAAAATACGATTCGCTGATATATGGCCTGACTTTCTAAGAAATGGCCACAAAGAGATGACAGAATAACCGTCAGCAAGAAAACAACCAATCAGAAGACGTTACTTCTCTGCTAACAATAACACTAATAATAATGTACCTAAAAATCTATAAATATCTGTTGATTTTCTCAATAAATGATCTGTTGTCTCTGTCGTTACATTGTCACTGTATATGATAACAATGCTATTTCCCAAAATAGTATTAATGTTACAAAATCAGGATAAAAATGAACTGCTTGTTGTATGTAGATCAGTAACAAAGCTTGAACAGCAATAAGACTATTATAACAACCTTGGTCATGACGTGAAAATCATTAGAAAACGATAAATTCAAATGCTTCCTTTTCATTCCATGCGTTCTCAGTGGAACATAAAGCTTTAGACTTTGAAGCTCTGGTAGCAACCGGTTGCTAATTGTATGCCCAACTGTGACTCTTTCCCCGGCTTACTATTGGGGTTGGGTGGGGGTTTAGGGTTGTTTCGGCTGATAGCCAAACCCGGACTGACTGGCAGAGATCCTACCACTAAACAACTGGAGCACGAATCTAAATGTTTTTTAGCCCATTTTTGAGCTTTCTAGGGGTGATACAATTTATTCCCGAGACAAGTGAATATTTTAAACTCTCAACATACATTCACAAAACTAGTCAGTTTAAACAATCAAAGAAACACTGAACATCAATGTTCATTTTAGGCGAATACAGGGAAGTACGCGCTAAACATAAATTTAAAATAAAACCTGCTTTGAAAAGTAATTTACACTTTTTACATACCTGATTTGTTCGAATACTTCTTCCTGATTAATTCATACAAGTGACTAACAGTTGATTTGGTTGACCCGCTGACTGTTTCTACCTGAGAAAAGTTATATTGAGAGAGAGAGAGAGAAACAGATGGAAGAAGCCTTAGATTATTATTATTATACCTAATTGTTTATACAATAAATGATCACTGAAGGTGTCTCCCGTGATAAGTGTCATAATATGGTGAGCAATATTCAGGTTCGGCATGGAGTGTTAGGCATGGAAGGGAAGCCATTCAATGAGCCTGTAAAGTCACATCGATTGAAGTGGCTGCAATACGTGTTGTGCATGCCAAGTCATCACCTTCCACGTCAAGAAATGTTAACCGATATAGGATTACTTTGGAGAAGAGTTACAGGTGGTCAAAAAACACCAAAATCTGTCATCACTTAGCGAAGTCTTGGACTGTTGGTGTGAGTCGTGTAGCGAGGTGTAGATCGACTGGCTGTGGTCCATGGGATTTCAAGAACCAGTGGCTTGGAGACTGTTGGTGGTGTTGGCTGAAAACCGCTCTCAGTAGAGCAAATGTATTCCCTATTTGTAATCTCCCCGTACACTGTTGCTTACTATAGCTCCTTTGAACCTCTATTCAAAGTTCTCTGTTGAAACTTAGTCATCAGATGATCTGAAGTGAAATGGAAGGTTAATCTGTAACATAATTAAAAGCATCAACCTACGAATACCGATCTGACGGTCTACCGAAGCAGGTACCTATACCCAACTGGTACTCAGATTTTTACAGAATTTCATCATGAGCCGACACTGGTTAGAGAACCATTGGAAAACCTGCGAGTGTTGGACAGCCGTTTCGTCCCAGTTTGTGACTCTTCGTCAGTACGCACCCACGCCGCGGGGTTAGAACCCAGGACCTTCTGGTTTCAAGGCAAGCTCGTATACCATGCGAGCCACTGGGACCCGATTTTATTTATTTATTATTACTATTATTATTTTATTTATTATTATTTTATTATTAGACCTACAAATATTAAGATTGTGTTGAAATAATAGAGATGACTTATAGGTTAGGTGGATACTTTTAGTAAACGTTGTATTTTTTGAACTGGATGTTTTATTAATTGCGAAGCTTTCATAGTCTACGACTTCAATCAAATTTCAGCGAATCAACAATTGTAAATTAATCTAATGTTCACTACTAACTGACTACATGATGAATATATCATAGAATTAAAGTGATGAAAATTCGTGACCGATAGAATTCACTAAACTGCGTGTGAGGACAGATACCCGTAGATGACAGTAGTTGGCAGTTATGCTAAACACTGGAAATTTTGCCAGAAGTTAGAATTCATGGACCATTGTATTCCACCCTGATAGGAACTAGCATAAAATAGTATATCATCCTTTTTCACGAATCGTGTTATTTATCTTGTGATGGATTTACTATTTGAATGTATTATTTCTCATGTATATTGTGATTTACTGTGTGTGTGATCAATTCATCGTCTTTTGTCTCACCTTGGTCTTTGTCGGATTGCCAACCAATGAGTATATAACCATTGCCAGACAATAATAGTCCCACGGTTATGAGCCAAATATATTGTGATAAATTAAATATATAAATAAAACACACAATAGCTCGGCTTGTAATGAGTATGTCCTCGGTGTGTACTACAGTAGAAGAGTCTCAAACTCGGAAAAAACCGCTGTCATATGAACGTTGGTTTTCAATAAGCTCTCTAACTATAATGTCAATTTATAGTCTAACCTGAAATCAATCGAAACACCTGAAAACCAACACTTCATCTACTTGATAGATTCCCCAAAGCTGCAGTGTGAAGTTGTGACCAGTGGGGTCTACGATGTCTAGGCGAAGTGGATGCTCGTCGAAAGTAATGGTGAGAGCAGTGCTATATCACAAACCGACAAAGTTAGAATTCATGGGCCGGCAAAGTTCAACTTTAAGCACCACCAATGGCCTCGAACGCAACAATCACATGAAGGAGGCATTTTTGTGTATGGAATGCAGATATTTATGAGAACGATGCATAAAAACCGTAGAAAAGTGTTACAGAGGATACCTTCCTCTGAAATAAGATAAAAATAGCTCTCAGTTATAGGTTGGAGTATCAACAGAGTATAATTCCATTGTGGGTAAAATTTATTTTGATAAAGTCTCATAGTAATATTTACTGAGCAATAAATTGTACTCGAAGTGTGGTCATCAGTTAAATATTGCTGTATAACACTGTGAGACTTTATCAGAATTAATTTTATTGGCAATGGAATTATACTCTGCCACACTGTACAAGTTCTATTCTTATATCTACCGAGTAATTTAACCACATTTTATGCGTGTAATTATTTAGGTCTTCTAACCCTAACAGTAACCCAAATCTTTCCTAAACCTAACCCTAACGTGAAAATATTCCTACACTAACTGTAATCTAATTCGAACTAAACTTACTGTTGCCTTTATTAGGTTAACCTAACCCTAAATTGTCCTTGGCCTAAACCGTACTCCATTGCTAGTTAGTCAGTGGTGCTTAAAGTTAGTTTAACTTGGCCCATGGGCCACTGAATCCTAGCCTAAGTGGCTGAATGGTAAAACACACCTGATCTCATAACTTGAAGGTCTCGAGTTCCACCTCTGACGGGGTCATTGGTGAGCACTGATGAGGATTAGTCCTAAAATAAGACGAAAGGAACAGTCCTCCAGTTTTCCCTAAATTCCAATGATCTCTCCAAATGAAGGTCAAGCGAGTGGATCTTTGCCAGTACGTCCTAACCAATCGGAACACAGTTCTTATATCGTAGACTAGTAAATTATTGATTAATGTACAAATACATGTCTGTAATTTCTAGGGCTATGTGGCTGATATGTACCTAAAAATGATCGGATTAGTCTGTCAGTCTGATATATATTTGTCCATAATCTATCCCATTTAGTCTGATGGTTAGATAAAAACATATGTTGGCTGTCACATGATGGACGTCAACGAATCACAGAATCCAGGACGCTGTTAACGCCTACTACTCAAGCCTTGTTGACTGGATCATAAATCTGTGTACTCTAGATCGCATTCACCCTGGCTCTCTTTGGTTCAAAGATAACAATGGCTTTGAAACACTAATTCAGAGCATGGCAGTGTGATGTTATTAAAGGCAAAGAATTAGGGTAAGAGGCCCAAAATTGTTGTTTAGCTCAACGGTTCACTCCAAGACGATAGATGCAGCCACACCTCTTGGGTATGTCCAAAGTTGAACTTCGCCCAATACATATATTATTTAGCTAGTTTGGATTCCATTAGTAGGAACAGATTTTTCAATGTACTAAGTTATGAGCGACACTTATTATGTAGAGGAGGATGATACAACCTAGTTCCTCTGGAATGGAGTAGACGGAGTGAGACTCGAACACGGGACACACTGTTACTCTTAACTCTTATTTTGACAGTCGATAATAACAGATAGTAATATACCGTCTCTCCTAGGAGTCATAAGAATAATCGAAGGCGTCGAAATGAATCAAAATGTTGGAGGATTTCATCATGAGTTGACATCAGTTATAGAACCATTGGAAAACACCTGCAGGGAGTACTGTACAGCTGTTTCGTCAGTCTAGTTTGGGAATCTTCAGTAGTAAGCACCCACCGCCAGGGTACGAAGCCAGGACCTTCTGGTTACAAGGCGAGTTAGCTCGTAGACCACTAAGTTGCCTTGTAACCGGAAGGTCCCGGATTCGAAGCCTAGTGGGAGCATACTGTCAATGAGTCATGAACTAGGACGAAACAGCTACCCAGTAATTCCCTGGTTTCCAATGGTTCTCCAGCTAATATCAGTCCATCGTCAGACTTGAAAGAGACGACTATATGTAGTTTTTAAATACACAATAAAAAAATTTTCTGAATGACTTACGTAATAATTCAGATTTTCTCGATTATAACTAGTTCTGAGGACTAAGCACTTATCAATATTAATACCCAGCATATTCTGCACATCTACAATAACTTGAGCTGATGCTGTCGCTGTCAACCCGATAATTGGTACACTGGGAAATTGTCGACGCAGAACATGTAGAAATTTATAATCTGGTCGAAAATCATGACCCCATTGGCTAGCACAATGAACTTCATCGATAGCAATACACGCCAGTCGATGAGTGGTATAAGCCAACTCTAAACGATTCAACAACAATTTACTTTTAGCCAATTTCTCTGGTGTTACATAGAGTAGACGTAGATTCGACGTAGACGAGATCTCTTTTTTATTGGTCTAAAAAGCAAAGACAAATGAGAAGAAAGCGGCAATAGGTTTAGAAACTAACCATCGACTCATTCAAATTCATAAGAAAATATACGTATCTTGAAATTAAAAAAAAAAAACAACAACATTAAAATAAGCAAGAATTAAGGATAAAAGCATTAAACATCGATTGTATATCAAAGCAGTCAACAGACAAAAGAATATTCGAAACCACAGAAAGTTTAATATTTCTTACATTCTAGTTTGAAATTCCTGAGCAGTGTAGAGACTAATACAGGTTGTCTGTTAAAGTTCACAAAACAGCCAAAAGTGATGTTTACTGATGGATCAAAGAGTGCTAAATAGTGTTTGGTACTAGTTTGGGACTCTTCAACGTTGCACAACCAAGGGTTGAAACTCGAACCTTTAAGTTACGAGGCCAATGAGCCGACCATTTAACCACTTAGGCTACACATGTACTATCCATATTACATGTGTACTGTCCTTATTTATGGCTGTAAGAGATGTTCACTGAAAGCGAAAGATATAAAAATGCTAGATGTCTTCGACGACAGATGTTTGCGTTCTATCTACCGTGTGAAGGGGTGAACGATATTGACGTTAGGTGTAGAGTATTAGATGAGGAGGGTACGTAAGTCGATAGATGTGGCTGGGACACGTAAAGCGCATGCCGAACCACTGCCTTCCCTTGACAAGCAATGCAACCTGACATAGTAGGGTGTTGAGTGGTCACTAGGACGTCCCGAACTAGGACGTAACAGATGTGTAGTACTCCCAGGTTTTCCAGTGGTTCTCTCTCTAATTGATATCAGCTCATGAAGAAATCTTGTAACTAATTCGCCATCATCTAAAATCCTATAAAACTAAGGAGCACTTTTAATTGATCAGGGAAAAGAAACAACAACTTAAGTGAAAACTTTCATCATGTGACGATTCGAGCCAGCAGTCTAATCCCTGGGTAACAAGATCGAGGTAGGAAGTCATTGATCGAGATTATAACCAACGGTTTTGCTAAGTTCCATAGAACAATATATAATGTACTAGTGTAAAAAAACAGTAGGTCACTGGTTAAATGAACACCGTTATCCGGTGTAACGAGTTATCTATTAGACTTATCCTGTTTGAGGGCTCATCGTACTCCATCCATTCGCCAAAAATAAAGTAGAGGCAGCAAGATTCGAACGCTGAACCACCTGTTGATGGAACGTTGACTTCTCCAGCCTATGTATCACATCAACAAAGTAGAAGAAAAGCAAAACAAGAATGACGGTAATATGTTTTGATTCCTATGTGCTCGCAGTACAGAATAGGGCATCTGTTTGTCTGTCTGTCTATTTTCGACATAGAACTTTGCACTGATGTGCGACAGTTCGAGTCGCCACAACCCCTCCATGTAGCACAGAAAGCAAGAGAAGAAAGTAGAAGAAATGCATAATACAGATAGTAAACAGAGATGTGAGACAAAGGAATAGGAATAACGAAGAACAAAACAGTCTCATTGGAAATCATCAGTCACAAGGAGTGGATGCATCCGCACAGGCCAGTCATTGAGAACGATTTTAAGCCATATCACCAATTGTCTTCATCCTTCATTGGTATTTTACCTTCCCGACGACCCCAACCAGTCAGGAAGTCTACACCTTCCTACGTGGCTGGCTTAAACTAACTGTTGTGGATTTCGTTGACTGGTGAAGCCATGTTTTGGTTTGACCAGCACGTGCTAGCTCTTTTCCAGCCTGACTGACCCTATGTCAACTAACATTGCCCGTTGTCGAGGAAGGCGATGACTAGGCATACGTAACACATGTCCTAACCATCTCATTGATGTAATTTCACAGCCTCGTCGATTGATTTCCCCTCCTTGCCTAGCATCAGTACCTCCTTATCTGACATCAGTACATGACGAAGTCGACCTTTTTTGATTTATCTCAAGTATAACACAAATTTAAGAAGCATTCTTATCACATGATTATTTGTAAATCTATGTTAACATTGTTTTATTATTTGTTTTACAGGATTATTCTTCATCAGTCAATCAATCGATTAATCAGTCAATCAACCCTGTTATAGTACCCAAAACTTCTTTGGGTTATTGTTATTATTATTTCCTTACTGCCTTTTGTAATACTAAGAGAACAGATTAAACTATTTTTGTAATCAAAAGTAAAATCTGTTATTTCTTTTAAATGAATGAATGGGCAGAGTTGATCCAGTTGTTTAGTGTTCATTTGGATATGTGTGTGTGCGCCTGTTTCTGAATATTATCACACCTACTTATACCATTATGGGTAAATTTTGTTTTGATAAAGTCTCACAGTGTTATACAGTAATGTTTACTGATGACAAAGTTTCGAGCACAATTTATTGCTCATAATCATATCAAAGCACCTACTCACACGACTTCCGAACTTCATTTATATAGTTCCATTATTTTTCACTTGATTTCCACCTGATTTGATTGGTAATAGTATTTTCCATATTTCAGGTATGAGTGATGACTCATTCCTATTGCATGTGCTTGGTGTAGACTCGATGAACCAGACAGGATTCAGTAATCAACCTCTCTCTTCACCTACCTAGATTACTTTTTAGAATTTTAACCCTCTCCCACCCTATTGTGTGGTTGTGTGTGTGTGATGCATGCATTGCAATTGCTGAGCTTTTTTCTAAATTACTTGTCTTCTCGGGGTCAACCATTCTTACCTTAGCTAAATTCTTATGTTCCGACAATCTGACTACCCGTGACCTACTAGTTTGACCTATGTAGTTGACCTAACTCACAGTCATTGCAGGATATTTTGTAAATAATATTATTTTGTCTAATTGGGTCCACCGGGTCTTTTAACCTACAGAGCTTGTCTCTGTCTGAGTGAGTTTGTAGGTTATGCCAAACCTACCTTGGCGGCCTGCTTAAATCCTGGGCTACCAATTACCTTAAACATTACAAATCATATTGCATCTAATTTCTCATTTCTAATTGATATTTTAATCAATAAATCTTATTCAAATATGACCTCAAATCGGATTATTTATTCTCGTGAATATCTAATATCTTTGAAACCTACTGATCTGCAACTCCATAAAAAAGACAAGAAAAAGCATCATGCTGGCTGGCAGAGAGCATTAAAAAATACCCCTATTCAATTCATGACTGTTCCCGCAATTATGAGTACCAATTGTCGCTCCCTGCCGGCTAAAATTAACTGTCTTCAATCGCTGGTGTCTTCCATTATATATCATAATACTGGGATCATATCACTTCAAGAAACATGGCTTCATGATCTATATGATGACAATCTAGTGTATCTAAATAATTTCAAACTATTCAGACAAGATCGGTGTAGTTCCAGGAAGAAACGCGGTGGCGGTGTCGCCATCTTCATCAATTCACAATGGTGTACGTCAAATAATGTATGTTTCAAATTCTCTAGTGACAATATTGACTGTCTCACCGTTAAGTGTCGACCTAAACATTTGTCAAAATACAACTACATTTACATCTCAAACATGCATATTGCTCCTGGATGTAACTCCACAGAATTATCTTTATTTGCGGATGAATTTACTTCCCTTGCTGCCACCTCCTTCGGAAATTCCTTGTCTATAGTTACTGGTGATTTTAATTCTAGTGACCACAGCTTCCTAATTTCACTTGGACACGATAATATTGTCAACTTCCCGACTAGAATGAACAACACTCTTGACCTTGTTTTTACAAACGATGCAGGGATATTTGAAGCTCGAAAAAGAGCCCCACTACTAAATTCAGATCACTGTATCATAAGAATATTGCCCAAAGTATATGGAAAGCAGCACAAAAAGGTCTTCTCATACCTTGGAAAGAAAACACAACACAGATGTTATTCCCATGACAACATACTGAACCTAAGGTCCATGTTAAAAGACACAAACTGGGATCTATTTACTGAACAAGCTCTTGATAACACAATTGCCAACATAACACATTATCTTAATTTCTGTCTTGATGTTTGTTGTCCAAAAGAGACAATCTTCTTAAAATTCGATCGTTTCTCCTCTTCTCAACTCAAAAAGCTCCGCCGTGAAACAGAAAGGTTGTTCAAAATGAAAAACAAATCTGGTGTTAAGAGAATGAACACTTTGATTAAGCTTGAATTACAAAGATTGAATGCTCTCTATAACCAGAAGTTTCTTTCATGTAAATCCCCATCAAATATGTGGAAGTTATTAAAGGAAATCACAGGCGGTAAGCAAATGTTGAATGATATTTCTGTAGATGTTAACATGCTAAATGAATCCTTCATATGTATCCCAGCAAATGTTATGATTCCTAACTCAAATAGTGTAAACAATGACTGCTTCTCATGCTTTAACACGAATGATGTCCTCAAGTGACCTCTCGGTCTCTATGCCTGTCAACTCTCAGTCAGATTGTTCCAAATTAAATAACTTTCTGTCGGAAATTAGTCAGTGGTCCTCTTCAAACGGACTTAAGCTTAATCCGTCTAAATGTCAGGTAGTCAATTTCACTTTCAGACGTAAATGTGACCTACAGCAACTAGTTAGCTCACATGGCCCCACTCTCATTGACGGCACAGAGGTTGAAAATACATCTAATGTCAAGTACCTTGGGCTGAGTTTTTCCACCGATCTTTCCTGGTCTTCCCACATCTTGCTAGTTACCAGAAAGATGTTTCGCTTACCGTTCTACATTAGGAAATTTAGGCAGTCTGGTATAAAGCAAT